AATCCTTTGATTTATCCTCGGTCCTCGCATAGGATGGCCCAAAAATGGTCTCAACCGATGTTGGACCTCCCCAGGTCCTCGGAACCAGGGACCTGTAGCTGGTATCCAGGTCCACCTCTTCTGTCTCGGTTCACTTCCACTGGGAATTATTAAATTCTTCTTAAAATTCGTTTTATGGGAGTTTATAATATGTGGCACAACGTGGAAAGGCTCTCCAGGAGCAGGGCAGAGTCAGCGGCGACGCGCGGCGGTGGATTTTGTGCGGCTGCCTGGGGCCGGAGGAGACATAACCTCCAAACGCTGCCGACAGAGCCGCACGAGTCGCGGCTTCGGGGGAATTCCCGAGGCTTGACGATGAGCACCAATGGCACAACGCGGGGTTGTTTGAACGCGCGTGCGGCCTGCGTCGGCGTACCTCCATCACTGACCTGGGCGTCGTGCGCACGACCACGTGTGCGTCTCCGCGTCTCTTCCGCACACGGAACACCGGGTGTATGCGTGCAAACGCGCAAACCCGATGCCTCGTAGGACGGAGTACCTAGGGCCTCGCGTGCTACGCAAAAAGACACGGCAGAGCGCAGTCGAGTCAAAGGGACGCGCAGCGGACGAGGTCGCCGCCATTTTGGTGCCTATTCGTCTCGCGACGCCAATGAGCGGGCACTTTTCGCCAGTTTCGACTAAGCCTGAGGGATGGGCGGCTGTTAGGCAGTGCTTAATACCGGGAAGGGCCATGTAGAGTCAAGATGGCGAAACAGGAATGCCGTTTCCACGGAGGAGCGACGCGCATGGAACTAATCGCTCACTCGAAACGACCTCCTTTCCATCTTGGACTTCGCCTCTTTCCGCGAACCACGGCCGTGTCACAGCCTATCGCTTAGTGGATTAAGGTTCTAAAGGTAAACTGGGACTTCCGGGTCGCACCTGGATGGAGAGGACGACTCTCGGAGTCGCCCGGATTCGCTCGACAAAGTTACCGAGCGGATCCAGGCCGACGATCGCCACCGATTCTTGGCTCTATGGCATGAGAAGAATTTTATCGGGCACTTTTGGTCGCTTTTTAATTTAGTACTCGAACGCAATATTTGAATTTTAAGCAAATATGGACGTTGCGCGGACATACGTGCCGGCCATTGGAGAGCCCAAGATGGCGGCGGCGGCAACTAGAGGGCCACTTTGGGCAGCGCGGGAGACACCGATAAGGTTACTCGGTGATACGTAAATGTACCTTTACAAGCGTATCGAGCTGCGACAAGTGCAACGACAATGAGTAGAGACAACCGAGAGGACAGCCCGCTGGTCCGGGCATCGCCAGGGCGGAATGCGATATGAATGCGTTAATGCCTGGTTACTGACGTTAACACGATACGTTGATAGCCCCGCAGTCCCCATCCGGTGTACACTTTCCCCATTTCCACCGAGGGTCTCTTTCCTCCTTTTTCCACTCGGGCACCGGCGGGCGCGTTTTAATTTTGATCTGCCAGCCCTGTATCTGTCGGCCGTGCGACTCGTCGACGACGGTCCGCAGGGATTAAAATGTAACAAACTTGCCAGTCGCCAGTCAGCATTATCGCCGCCATTTTAGGAATCGCTCGCTGGACATATATCAGCCGAATTTCGATACGAGTGGCCACGTCTGGAATGGCCGGTTCTCCTGACGCGATCCATATCGCGTAGAAGTTGTCAATTCGTCCATAAAATCGCAGCAAAACCTGAAATTGAAAACGGTGGAGGTTAGACCGTTATCGAGTTTTCGACGTCGATTATTTGCCCGTCCAAAATATCGGCCTGATCTCTTCGTGATTGAAGTCGATTTATTTTTACTTAAAAATTGATGCCAGTGAAGGCTCGACTCATTGTAGGATTTTTTTGAAGAATAAATTCCGCTTCATGACCCGTGTTTATTTTCGCGAACTATCGTTTCGGGCACGTCGCCGGGTTCGTTTCCAATGTAGATTTTGCTCTCTTACCTTCTTCAACGATCTGCGGAAACGCACCCTTTAGGGGCACACAAGACTGGAGTGTTGGTCCACTCCTTGAGGTTTGTGTGTTCTGCGGAACTACTTCACTTGGCGGATGACACGCGACTCGATAATACGGTAATATATAATGCTTGTCCCAGGGATCGTCTGCACTTGAGTCCAGGATCTTTAAAACGACTTCACAGCTCGTCTTCTGGAAGTTCCTCGTAATCGGCATGGTGTATCAGCGTCCGGAATAATTTTCCCAGCTCGACGGTATCATGGCGAGTCTTCGACCCTGTAAATCCAAAAGAATGGCCATGGAGAAAGGGGAGCATAAAAGCGCCGATGAGTGCCGAAGCGGATTGCAAAGACCTCGTCAAAGAGGTCTTCCCTTGCCAGAGTCGATGACGAAGGGTCCTCCGGGTTTCAGATGGCCGATAAGCCGGATACCATCGCCGTCAATGGGCAATCGCGATTCGAGCCGGTCCCCAAATCAGAACCCTGACGAATTTACAGCTCCCGCTGCCAACGTCGTTCCCATTCACGGCGAAGGAAGGCTGACGATATGGATCCGACTTTTTCCTCCAAGTGCGGTATATGTCCCGTGTATATTCCTCGGTGGCGACCGCACGCGAGAGTTTATGTCACCGGAGGAATTCCAGGGAGCAAAAACGCAGATGGCGCTAATGTCGAGCCCTCGCATTCGAAACGCTCCGAAGGGGCCCTTTCGATTTGGCATTGGCGACCCGCAAAACAGGTCCAAAAAGCGGCTGACAGGAAACTAGGAACCCTTGTTGAGGTCGCTATTTATTGAGCCTATTCCTTAGCCTCCTCTCGCAAGAAAAGAGCGGGAGGTCTGGCATAGACTTCCTCTGTCAAGGACTTCGTTTTACCCCTCCCTTCGTGTAATTCCTCTGCCCGGAGGAAAATAAGCGCAGACGAAGCGCGAGGGTCAGGGCACCGTTTCGTTTGAACGGGGAGACCTCGGCACGTGTCCTGGCGAATTTTGCACAAGTGGGTCTGCCGAATAAGAGAAGCTGGACTTTTACGTATGCACGAGCATAAACATAACGCAAAAGAACACGGGTAGATGATATCGGAGGATTCACCTACGAGCCACGGGGCGTCGCCTTTGTCCTCGATTTGGGACCGCTTTTTTCCCGCTGCTGACCTCGCCCCGACCCTCGCAATGTTTTATTCCTATTCTCCAGGGGCACCCTCGTGCATCAATCTTGGAAAAAGAGGTTGGAGAATTACTCATTCGAGGGTCTTTACGCTGCACTCACGGCGCGTACACGGGACGGACCGATCAACATGGATACGAGTCCAGTTGGACCTGACGAATCCATTAAAGCGAGCGAAAACCACGTGGCAGATAATATAACAAGCGGTAAAAAAGGAAAAGAGACAAAGTGGAGAGATAACTCGAAATGACTCGAAGCGGTCCCGTTAGTCTCGTGATCCATCTCCGACTTCCCATTCACTTCGCCGCGTCTCGTTTCCTTTCGCTTGCAAAAATCCACCGAACGGTTGCCACAACAATTTGCGCACAACTTCGGCATTTACCTCAATAATGAAACTCCGCGCGATGGACACATTGCGCGAAATAATGACATAATCGGGAATACCGTAATTACGTGGGGCAGTTCTTTGCCCAGCAGCGAAAGTGCAGAGCGCAGAGCCCTAGGTACCGGTTTTTCGGGAACCGCAAAAATCCCCCGCGCCGGACCCGAAGGACGCGGCGGTAATTATTCAACATTTCATTAAAGTATCCAGATAAGAAGAGTTTTAATTACAAAGGCACCGCGGCGCTTCCGGTACGCGTGCATTCGCCTCTTCTTGCACATGCACCCACGGCCGTGTCCTGCATCGTGCACATGCAGACGTTCCATCGCCCTCGACGGCGTGCAGCACGCACACCAGCCGGCTTCCTAACCCGTCTAAGGCTCTGCCGCGTTTGCTTAATACCGGGGTGATTAGTAAGGTCGTTTTCTTAATTACGCGGCATTGTAATAAGTATGAGACTCGTTATATGCGAGCGATGGTCCGTGCAATGAGAAGCGGCGCATACGAGACCTCCACCTGCATCGCCACGCCCATCGGTTCCCCACTTCTGCATCTCGCCGTCCTCTTTTCTGCACCGCCAGAGGTCCCGCTGCATCCGAAGAAAATATCGCCAGTTGTAAATTAAACGGGGATTTATCGCACGAGTTAGTAATTGCGCGCTGAATAAATATGGAGGCGTGGATCGCGCCCTCTCGGCCTAGGGCAATCTGCACTTTCCTCCAGGGACCCCCCGCGTCCCCCGGGAATTTATGCTAAAATGAGTCCTTTGAACCTATACGACACCCTACAAACGTAGTTATGATGTAATGGTTATGGAACTCTTTATAACGCGTAATTTAACGTGTTCGGGTAAACACCGCAAGCTGAAGGCAGTTTTCGGGCATAGAATTCCAAGGGGGAATGAGGTTAGGAATTTTTCTTCTTGCTTTCTGTATCTCGACGTATGATTTAACCTCTTGCCTTACGATTGAAATTCCAGTAGTGCGTGCCATAAACAACAAAAATGTCGGTAGCAGTCGGCAAAACAACAAAAATGTCGGCAAAGGCAATCGGCGTATTACATGTCCCCGGTGTTACATATCGGTCGCTTGTTTACGTATCATCGGTGCACTCCAATTATCACGTTATGCCTCTCAATTTCAGGCCGGTATTTCGAGTATACGGTATGCTGAACGCGAGTGGCTAGTCTCACTTGCCGCTTTCTTACGATTTTTTTTTTTAACTCATTCATTGAATTGGGATTTCGAGTTATTGTTATCTTCATTGTCCGTGTCTGGGAGGAGCCTTGATTCAGGTAATCAGGTTCCGGTGAGTCGTGCGATCGGGGACGTTTCGGGTCGAATGGAATTCGATCGCGAGGGAGAAAAGCCGTTGGCCGGCGGCGTCGAGAGTCGCGCCGCCCGTGATCGACCGAGGGCCGCAGCTTCCACGGGCGACCGCGAGCGGCGCCATCGGCGCGCAGTGAGTGGCAAGATGGCGTCCCCCAGCGAGCTGTCTCTAGAGGAGATTCGCCGTTACCTTGTGGAAAACGGTGGCTCGGCTCGCAACCATGACCTGGTCAAGCACTTCAAGCGACTATTGACGGACCCGGAGACCCGGGGTGAGTCTCGCGACCGGTCGCCATAACGCGACAGTCTCCATGATGCGTGCGTCTCGGCGAGTTGAAACAAGTTCGAACGCGTGACCTCACCGAGGCGGACGCGACAGATCGCCGTTTCCCAGGATCGTCCACCACGACTGACGCCGTCGATGCTCAGTGGACTTGCTTTTGATTTCAGTGGAGGCGCGCAACAAGTTCAAAGAGTACGTCAACACCCTCGCTACTATCAAAAACGAGGAGGTAGGTACGAGCTTCACGCTCTGAGCTATTTCGTATCAGGAGCGACTTGTTGCACGCGAGATGCGCAGTTGCCACGTTTACGTCAGCTGCCGGACCCGGAAGGCTGTAACTCCTTCCTGGATTTCTGGGCCGAATGATTTTCACGTCTAAAAAAACGATCTTGTCTCTAGGGATGTTGGAGGTTATGTCGAGGAAGTCTAAATTCAGATAGTTAACCCTATGTAATGTTCGAAGGAGTGGTTTGGAGACGAAGGGATTGTTTAGGGGTATCGAATAACTTAGTCATGGAGAAGTTCATGGTATACAGGAGAATATGTTTAACGTAAGGATCGTAGCTTGATTGTGAGTTACGTCGAAGTGGTTCGCAGCTCGTAGGAATACCAGTCGACGAGGACTGGAGGAGAGCGTTACATAAAGTGCAAAGGTATGCATAGAGCTTTATTTGTTTCTTGCATTTTATGCGTGGTAAAATTACCCTCCTTAATAGTATATTTTGAAGTCTTGAGAGTTGAGTGAAACCGCCTTGTGATTATTTCTCAACGATACTTGGATATTTGCTGGAAATTTAGATACTGGGAAAGTGTTGAAGTTGTTAGAACAAGTTAAATTATATTGATACGAGGGATAAAGATATTTGCATTGTTTAATATTTTAGTGATAATTGTTGGGTATCGGAGATCGGTTATTGTAACATTATTGTGAAGAGGGTAAGTCAGTCTATTGCTCCGCATCTGTGACGCGTAGTTGCGATCAGCCTAACGGTACTTGTGAAAGTTAGATCTGCCTCGAGTGCGACGTTTATTGCGCGTCTACTCGTTTCGCGCGCATGTTTATCGACGATACACGAGATTGCCGCGCGTCAGAACTCGTGGGAATATCCTGGTCCTTATTCGCGAAAAATCAAATGCGGCAGTAATTCAGCTAGGTATCGCACCCGCCCGCGAGAACTAATTGATTAAATAACTGAATAACAATCCGGATAACGAGTCGCTCCTTTCATGTTTGGGTCGTAAAATAACAATTAGGAATATTCTCCTTGCTCAGGGTGAGAAATACCTGGTCCTGAAGAAGGAATACCGCCAAGGTCTCCCAGAATCCTCGACCACCCGTCCTCGCCTTGGATCCGGTCCATCCTTGGACTTGGAAGGAACCTCCACGACTTCTTTCGATAACTCTAATCGAGAACCTACATCCCTAAGAAGACTGGACTTTTCATCCCCGGTCTCCACCCCCAGCTCTATTTTAACCACACCAGATCTTGCGAGTCCAGGATCTCCTCTTCGGGAACCGCCACCCTACAGACCTCCACCTCCGGCACCTTTTAGTCCTTCGAGTTCGACGTCTCCGTTTCCCTCTCCTTCTCGACAAAATCTTGCCCAACATGATTGCCCCGATTCACCTCCCAACCGAGCTCCAAAGGGAGAGGTCCTGGAAGAGGAGAACGGCTCTTCGGCTTCGTCGCCGCCGGTCCCACCTCGACGTAAAAGCCAGGATAAGCTGAAGGTCGAGAACAAGGAGAACATCGCCGTGGACCGGTTGATGATGAACTCTGAAAACTCCATCAAGGTGAGGGAACCATCCACTGCTTCTAAGGTTTCGGGTGGTGGTGTATCTGGAATGTCCCATCCAGTATGGGATGCATAGACACTGCACTCATTGTGCCGTCTTGTACTTTTTTTTTTTTTTAATAATCTTGCGATGTAGAATAGTATCAACTGGCAAGTTGGTGACTGGGATCCTAAACACGTGGACTGTACTAGATATCATGACTTGATATCGCTGTGAATCACTAAATCTCTTTTAGACATGATTGTAATTCTGGAAGGGATTGAAAATGTTTTCAGTTCGCATACTTCTGCACCGTCCTCGTATTCGTTCCTCGGCAATTAATTCTCGTCGCTTGTACCCGCTGAATCGCAATCCACGCATCCTTTATTTCAGACCCGAGCATGCGGTTCGCCGAATTGCACATTGATCGAAAGTTGCACCTCCAAATCGCACTCTTTGGCCTCACGCAACGCACTCTTCGTCTCACCCACGAGCATGTGGTTCGTAGAATCCCTATCACTTTGTCGTAGTCTTGCACCCCGTTGAACATTGCTCTGCACCCAAACTCGTGCATTCGTCCTTCATGGTGTTCTCTGTACTCGCGCAAGGTACTTTAAGGCGTTCTTTACTTCAATCCTTCGGGATCTGCCTCGTCGATACCCTTTCCCTGGTGCAAGGTTCGACCAGACTTTTGTTCCTCGACGAGAAAGACTGAACGATTTTTGGGGGGTTGTTGAAAACACGCAGGAGGACGATGCACTCCCGGCAAATCCTGGACCTGCGGAACAGCTCAGCGTCCGGGAACGGATGCAGCGTTTCAACCGGATGGCCAGCGAAACGGACCTTCCTAATCGGCCGAATGGTACCATCACCCCCATTAAGAAACGCACCGACAAGGTAACGAGACAGACACCCCGTCGACACCTCTGTAACACCACACACACCGACTTTTGGGAATTAAGTTATGATTCCTACTTGGCAATCGTGGAAGGGTCGGTTACTTCATAGGATCAGGTTCTTCGTCGATTTCCTCCGGAGGAAGGAGACGCTACGTGTATAATTTCGATTGCCTCTGCTAACGGAGGTGTCGCGATGTGGTCCCTGGAGGTCCTTTGAGGAAAGGATGCGGCGAAGCCGCGCGGCCCATCTTGCATACAGAGTACACCATTAAGAGCCATCGCGGCGGTCTTGGGGTCTGCAGGTTGCACCCACGCCGCGCTGGCTGCACGCGCCTCCTTCCGTTTATCTGCCTGGGATATTCGTCGCATTTGAATAGCGATCCCGGTCTCGCCGATCAGGATGTTTCGTCGATGTTCCTCGTAAATCATAATTAGCTGGGTGCCCACGAAATTAAAAGCCCACCGATACTTAGGCGGCACGGCGCAAAGCGCAGGATGCGACCGGCCACTCTCGTAATAATTTTCGGACCCTCCGGCCACGCCGTGGCGCAATACCCCTTGAAAGACCGCCGAACACTCACGGCCGTGACTCCAGCCCACGTGAGCGGAAGGAACCGATCCCTTCCTTCCACGAAACACTCCGGATCTGTCGGTACTCGCGATCGCGCCAAAGGATAGGCTACAACGAAGTCGGCATTCAAATCTACCGAGTATGTTTTCTTAAGTGTTTTTAATATTATTAAATTTCTAAGAGTCGTTTATCAAGTAGAGTAGAGTTTCGCGCCAAGTACTGTTATATACTTTTATTAGGAATTTTTAAAATGGACGGTTTGCGTATATTTTTATATACCCCGGGAATGGAGAAACACGCCTTTGGGATACTTTGTCTAATTAAGTCGCGCGACATCCCGTAATTCCGTATCCGTGGAGGCTGTCACGCCGGGTGATTAGCGCGGTTTCGTCGTCTCAAAGGTGGATACGCGTTAGGTGGGCCCTCGGGCCCAGCTGCTGGGACTTAGTCCAGGGTGCCAAGACACGTATCGCCGAGGGGCATCATCCCTGTCCTGGGGAACAAGTCGATAAGCCGGTAAAAGGTCTCGAGTAATTCAACCGCCACTATCGGAGATGCGTTAATCGCGACGTTTTTCCCAGGTGCACGATTGGGCCCGATCGAGATGGGCCTTTTTTATTGCCTCACCTTACTTCGGACTCGGTGAGCGCGGGGGAAATATCGGCGAGGAGTCGGCGTGCTTCTTTAAGGGCCTTGGTCGTGTGCTCGCACGCGTGTACCGACAACCTCCGAGCATTGGGCGCATCCACTTAGCCCGGGGCATTCGTTTTACTCGTAGGACACGTAGTCGGTTGTCCAGGGGACGATTACGCCCGGAGATGTCGGGCTTATCCGGCGGACGTCTCGCGAGCCGAGGTACAGGTGTGCCTCGGCATGCACCGCTCGTTTCCCGATTATTATGTATTTTTCGCACGCCACCGGCCTCGGGGCGGTTCGCCCTTTAATATACAAATGCGGACAGGCCGTTAACTTTTATTGGTGGTAAATTGGGAGAAGGAGCCGCCGCCGCCGCGGAAAGGGGCCCGGTCCCGAAGGGTGGGTCGGGGTCTCGCCTCCGGACATCCTGTAATCTGCCCGGCTCTTCCTTCTCCTTCCCCGTAATAATTATCATGCGCAATAGCCAACCTAGTCCACCTTTCGCATTCCTAATGAGATAACCCACGGGCCCCCGTGTGTCGCGTGCCGCCATTCCGCGTGCGTAGGTGCGAAACCAACGAGGGGCGGAGCGGCGTCCTTGGTTACCGGTTGCTAGGGACGCCATCGCTTGGCAACGGTCCCCAAGAAAATCGGAGAAAATTCGGACCGCTGCGGCGATACTCCTAGAGGTTCTCAGTTATTTTTTTTTTTTTTTCGGAAGAAAACGTTCAGAATGTGACCATGAAGTATGTAGTGGAGACTAGAAGGCTCGCGTGTCGAGGATCCCCGTCCCTCTGGCGAAGCAACGCCCCGTGACGTATTACAACCCCGTTAACCGATTAATGCGACCATTCGTAGGCGAGGTGTCGCCTACGGACTCGGACCCGTGTCTCTGTCTACCTCCCGGTTTTATGGAAATCAGAAGAATGTGCGGGTGGCGACGTCGCTAAAGTGGTCCACCACCTCTGTGTGGTCTACCGCCACTTCCGGTGCCTAGTCGTATGTTACCCGGGAAACTCATGCATCCAAATGCTGCTCGTCCCTACCGTGTCTTTCCTAGGATCCTATACACTTCACAGTCACTCTCGTAAATTCTGAAATTTAAAATCTCGTTTTTGGGGAACCAGTCGAGATCGAATTTTTTTTTGCCTCTTTGGTGAGAGATGAAATTTCGAAGTTCGGGGTTGGGGATGGAATCGAAGACCCGGAAGTAAGGTATAAGGTGAATTTCCGACGCGGTGTCTTGTCGGGGTTGTCGCGGGCGGGATCACGCAAGCTGTGACCTCCCAGTACCGAAACCCCTCTTTGCATATACATTCTGTAAGATTACTTTGTGCGGTTTACACCCTTCGCCGTGGCGACCTGTGCCTCGCTCGCGCTCTCTCTCTCCCTACCTCCCTTGCGTCGGCTCCTTTGCCGCCGGCGAACTACCCCCCAAGTTTCTCCGTCGCTAATGTATGCGAGGCTGTGCGGAATCCAAAGTTCGGCCCCGAGACTTCGGGGGCTGCCTCGGAGCATCCGAGATGAGTGCAGGCGCTTAACAAGGAGGCTGGAGAGGCGAACACCGGGTCCTCGAGGATAGAGCGCTGCGCTGGCAAATTTCAATTTGAATTTTACGCCGGCACCAACTCTCTAGCTCTCCGCGCTAACTAAGTTTCCGCGGGGGAGAAGGACGTGTTAATCCTGTACTGCGAGCCTCCTCGCGGTTCCCTGTGATATCCAGAATTTCGCTCGAGAAAATTATACTCCTAATTTTTTTTTCCCGTTTATTGGGAACATCTTGGAATGTTGATCGTGATAAATTTTTTTCAGCGGTTTCCGGGGAGTTTAATCGAATGATAATTCTTGATGATGATTCGTCAGCGATCTCGGTCTTGGTCGGACGGTGGCAGGGTGAATTAGGGCTGCCCAGACCTGTATCGTGTATGTACGGTATATTCATGGTATATGAGGCACGCGTATGAATAAACGCGGCTACACGGATAGTTAGCACTCGGTATTCTTGTAGGCCGTGTAGTAACTAGATACGCCTAACAGGCCCGTTGCCATTTATTCAGCCAGTTACGACTTAATCCTGGGAGCGTGCGCGCGTATTATCGTCTAAATTGGTGTCGTTACGCGCGCATTAAATTTGTTTGCCCACGAAGAGAGTTCCCCCCTCTCTAGACTTTGTTAACCTCTAAGCCTAAGAAAAATATCCCGGATCCAGGGCGGCTCCCTCGGGCTCACGGCTCGGAGATAACGAATTTTCGAAACCCCGAAGGTCTACCTCCAGCCCTTTTCTCGATAAATCGAGGAAGTCTTCGATAAACGAGGAATTAGGCGCTACTCTTGGTCAAGATCGAGGCGCCTCCTTTTTGGCTCCTCAAAGGATCGGTAAAAAAATGGGGAAAAAGAGAATTTCCCCGGAATTTCCTAATATTTTAGGAGTTTTTGGGGGAATTAAGTGGGCCCGTAGTTTTGAACGGTAGTGTAGTTCGCCCTCGATCGACCGCCTCTTCGGGGGGGATCGATCGATCAAGGATTTAGCGAAGTTGTCAAACGAGGCCCGAGCCCTCGACCTCCGGAGTCAGCCTCGTCGGAGATTCGTCTCCCGGATGGTCCATCAGGGCAGGTCTTGGACGTTCTTACACGACATTAGTCGCTGATGAGAATCGATACTGTCTCCGATCACGAGGGAGAGGCGCCGATATCTCGTTAGTAATCGGAGGACCGGCTGAGAGTTGACCGATTGAGGGATGGCATTCCATCGTTGGCTCGTCTGCCAGAGGGCCTTGGGCCCCGCCAGGACGGAAACTCCTCTACTGCTCCTTCCTACCAAGACACGATTTTTCAAACGTCCCAAAGTAGCAACCAATTACTCCAAAAATTCTATTCATTGTCGCGAGCCGTTACCTTGTACCTAATCATTTAAAATATTTAGATCCGCGATATCGGTGATTTTCTTTTTCTATCTGAAAATCGCAATTTTCCAGGGTCGTATCAGTTGTCGATGGCCTCTCTCCCGTTTCCCTGGATCTGGTACCGGTTCCCTCCGTTTCCTTATCCCGTCATGCTTTATGCACCGTCGTGGCACGGTAAACCAAGAGTCGCCTTATCAGGGATCTGAGTTGCCCAGTGAGCGGCAATTTGTATTCATAAGTCCGCGGGAGGCCGGCGCTCGCGCTCCCTGGGCGAACGGTGGGGCCCTAGGGCCCCGGGTCCCCGGCGGGGCCCTATCCCGGTCCCTTATCCCGGAGCGTCCGGCCCGGCAGCGGGCCCGACACTAGGCCGAACCCCGGGCCCCGCAGTCGGGGCCCGGGCCCATTCCGCGCATTTCTCCGCGGAGGGAGGCCTACGTCATTCAGCCGTGAGGCCCGGCTTGGCCCACGGGTTACGGAGCGGCCCAGGCCCGGCCTTCCTCTCCTGGCAGAATGTGACCAGTCATCGAGTTATTTAATTTTTCGAGGCTCCCCCGGTGCGCGTGTTTGCTCAGCCCCGCTGTGAGCACAAATTACCTCGCGACCGAATCACTTCACTTCACTCCTCGGGACCGGGCATCGCCTCTTCGGGTCCTCCGAGGGGCCCGCGTCATCCGCGACGGACGTCGGTACGACCTTCCAGGCTCATCGATGGACCGGAGTCGGTCTCTCGTTCAGGGAACCCCGGGACCTCGTCGGTGAACCCCATCTTCGGGGTCCGCTCTGGGAACGGCGGTTCAGCGGGACCAATTTGCAGCCGCCTCGCGCGCTGCCAATTTTCCTAGAGATTGGTATTCAGGTTGATCCGACTCCCGGGTGGAACGATCACCC